GCCCAGAGACAGGGCAGGCACGGCTGGCATGCCCCAGTCCACCCAGCTGAGCAAAGCTGGAAGACTGCAGCCCCCAATGGCCCCTCTAACACCCTGGGCTCCATCCCAGGGCTGGTGGCACTGCTGCAGCCCACAGCCTCGCTAGCGAGCTGGGCTCCCTCGCCTTCTCATGTGCCCATGCCCTGTTACAGGTGAGGGACTACAGGGATGCCTTTCCAGGGCTGCTGGGCATCCGGCAGACACTGCCGCAACAGGGAGGGCACTGTTGGGGCTGCACAGGGATGAGAGAGCCAGAAGCCAGCAGCCATCCTGCCACATCCCTCTGCCACAAGCTCTCCCCAACAGACCATTGTCCACAAGCTGTCCCAAACTAGCTGCTTCTCCAGCCCCAGCCTCTCCACAGCAGGGGCACAGAGCGATCCAGGGGTCCCAGACCCTGCTGGGTACCTACTGGCCAGGAGCAGCGCCAGGGCCTGCGGCACAGCCTGACTCGGCCGCAGGAACAGCTGGGAGCCACCCAGGCCCGGGAGCAGCGAATTCTCGAGCAGCTTAGCAGAGCCAAGGAGATCATCCAAGACCTGCACCAAGAAGTGGCCTCCAACAGAAAGCACCTGGCAGAGCTGCTGCAACAGGTGAGGACAGGGACAGGACAACCCCCCGATGTAGCCAGCCACCATGCAGCCCTCAGTGCCAGACCCCTTTCCTGCTTCTAGGCAGCAGTAGCCTCTGAGGGGATCCCCAGCCTGCCCACAGCGTGGCCAGCCACCCTCCCTGCCCCATAACTTTGCATGCAGGCACGGAACATGGCCAGCCTGCAGGCAGAGCTGGCCCAAACGCAGCAAGAGAAAGCCAAGCAGGAGGAGGAGATTGCAGCCTACTGGGAACAGAGGCAGCAGCTCCACTGGGAGCTGAGGAAGCTGCAGAGGTCCCAGGAGCAGACCAAACAAGAGGCAAGCATGTCCCAAGCCTTCCCACAGAGCACCGGGAGTGTGTGCTCAGCTTGTGTCTCTCTCACTGCTGCTCTGTGCCACTGGCATAGAGGCTGCAGGAGCTGAGCAGCCGAGCCCAACACTGGCAGCAGCTACACCACGACAGCGAGCGAGCTCTGGCTATGCGAGGAGCTGGTTGTTTGCAAGGTGGAGCTGGCTTTCCTCAAGCAAGAGCTCAGCAAGGCCATGGAGCAGGTGCAGGATAGAAACAGGCAGCACCACAGCCCAGCAGGCTGGGCCTATAGCACCAGGGAACAACAGATCGTGGCCCACAGGCAGAGGAGGGGTGGAGAGGACAGGAAAGGGGACAGCATACTGTAGATCCCAGGCCACCAAGGAAGGAGGCTGTGGGTCTGGCAGCAGCAGGGCTGAACATCTTGTTCTCCTTAACCTAGCCCACTTTGCTCCGTTGCTAGAAAGAAGCCCTTCAGCACGGAACTACCATGTTATGACAGAAGTTCACAGCCAGTAGTGCCAAGCTTCTCCAGAGCAGCTCTCCCAAGGGCCTGGCATCTTCAGACCCTCTGCTCAGCCCCAAAGGCTGCTACCCCAGCACAGCCTGGTTTTCTCCAACTGCCTTCAATCCTGGGCTCATAGAGGCTGGGAAGAGCAGTCACATGCTGGTTCACACATAGCATGTGGGGGGCGGTTGTCATTCTTTCCAGGTGAAAACCCTGCGCTCTTCCTGCGCTCTGGCATGCTCTGACAGCAGCAAGCCAGGGAAGGAGACAGAGCTGGTGCTCGTCAACATCAGCCAGTGTGTGAAGGAGCAGACGTGAGTGAGAAGTCTTACCGGAGCAGAGCGGGGCAGGAGGCTGCCTTCTCCTCACACCAGCTCACTCAGCTCACGCCTTGTTTTTAGGCAGTCAAATGAGAAACTAGGGCACAAGATCAAACAGCAAATCAAGCAGACCACAGAGCTGACAGGCAAAAAGGAGTAAGTGGTGAACACGGGGAGTGGGGCTGAGCTCTTCCCGCACAGCAGTTCATGCTGCCAGCACGGGTGGAGGGGACAGATGGACAATTGCTGGAGTATCCAAGCTCCTGCAAGGCCAGCAGACCAGGATTGTCTCTGCACCACTGCATCACCTCATCTCCCCTGCCTTTCCTCCAGACATCTTCAAGACACACTGGGCAGGATGCAGGAGGTAAACATGTACTTCACAGTCAGAACACACAAGCAGCACCACACGTGTGAGCAGCTGAAGGTGAGCACAATCCTTGGCACAGCCCAGCCTGAAACAGGGCTGGGCCTATGGTCTTCTGTGTACAGAGACAGCTGGGTGCCAGCTGCCTGCCCAGGGCACGGCTTGTGGGAGAACTGCCTTTGCACTAGTATGGGCCAGGGACAGGTTGTCTTTGCCCTATAGGTCAGTGCAATTCTGTGCCTTATCCCAGGCTCTACGGAGCAACAACTTGACAGCACCAGGGCTGCCTCCACCCAACACTCATCTCCAAGACAAGAAGCAGTGCAAAACAAAACAAAGATTAGACTGACAACCTTTAAACAAATAAAATTATTTCTGTTCTGTAGCAAAATTAGTGCCAAGCACCAAAGCCTTCTGGGCCACAAGCTGTTGAGCACCTCACAGAGTACAGTGATCAGAGGAGCGGGGCACCCCTAAGACTCAGCTGCTCCTGGAAGTCTTTAAGCCTCAAAGCAACAGGCACTGCCTTCTTAGAGGCCAAAGCGGGCTGGGGTGCGTCGTGGCGTCAGGGGCTCCCCCTGCTCCTTCCGCCCAGGGGTGTAGATTTTAGTAGATCTGCCAGGAGAGGACAAGGGTGATTAGCGGAATATGCAAACTTTCCCTGCACCAGAACACCCATGGGGAAACTGGGATTCTCCACTCAGCTCACTACTCCTGCTCTTACGCAGGCAACCCATGGCCAGGCAGGGCCAGCAGCTACCTTGCACTGCCCAGTGGGTTACGGCGCTCCTGCTCCTCCCGGCGGGCACGCAGCTGCTCCTCAGCCAGAGCCATCTCTTCCTCCATAGCAGACACCTCCTCTTTGGCACGGCGGCGGTTCTCCTGGAGCAAGGCAGCAGCAGGTCAGGGACATGCAGAGGGCTGGCCAGCAACAGACTCTCTGCAGGCCAACAGGCCTGCACCCTCCATGTCAAAACACACACATACACTGCACTAGAACAGCATGCAGTGGGCCTGCTGTCTGCCAGCTCATCCTGGACAGGAGACTCACCTGGCGTGACTTGCCAGCATGTTTAATACTGTAGAACATGGGGCCCAGCTCTGCCAGCCACTCTCCATCCACAGCAGTGACGCACTGCATATATTCCTGCAGGGACAGAAGGAAAGACCAGGGTAGCAGGATGGCACTGCCAGGGCCTGGGCACCATTTCCACAGCCATGGCAGCTCCCTCCCTCCCCCACTTGCTGATGGCACTTCTCAGGCTGATACTACACCCCTTCTAGACAATTCCTCCTGGCCTCAGAAGCTGCTATGGGCTGGGCTTGGTGAGACTGCAAAGAGGTTCAAACATGTCCCACATAGGCCAGGAAAAAATATTGGGAAAGGGACAAACGGGACTCTGCAGATGACACAGACATGCCTAATTGCTATAGATGAGAAAGGCTGAGAACTGCCCTTCTGATAGATCCTAGTATAAGAGCAAAGCCCTCCCATCTCCCTCAGAGCACTCCTCACCCTTCTTTCTAGCCCTCAGCTCAAGCTCACCTTGGTGGTCATGACCAACTCATGATACACAATGTAGTCTGGTGTGTAGCCCATGCCAAACAGGGAGCTTGTGGGGTGCAGGTGGCAGGGCATGCCTGTGCGGATGTTCACATACTCCCCAATGCCCTGCAAAAAGAAGTGTGGTTAGCGCACCTGTTCCCAGATGGGGCCTCTCAGCCCCCAGACTAGCACAGATGCCTCTCACCTTCAGCTTTGCAGCTTGATGAAAATACGCAGCACAGATGCACTTCCTGACAACATCCCAGTCAGTACCACAGGATGCTAGGCTCATCCGCTGCTGCACCATAATGTCCTTGAGCTGGGCACGCACCTCCCGCACCTGCAAAGATGTGTGGCAGTAGGATCTCTCTCCTGCATCAGGCTCCCTCCCCTACCCTCATTGCCACATCCTCACCTTCCGCATGGCCTTGGCATGGATGAAGTGCTGGTTGCACCACAGCGTAGAATAGCTGTTGTTCTTCCACTGCAGGTAAACATTCAGGTAAGTCAAGTGATCACTCTCTGGAACAGCAAATTTCTCCCGCACTTGGTCACTCTCCTCCTCTCGGCCCTGAAGGGTGAGCAAAGAACACAGGTTAGTCAAAGGGCAGGGGAAGGCCTCAAACCGCTGAAAGAGCAAACAGGTACCTTAGGCCGATAAAAGATGGCAGGCACAGACAACATGGAGACAATGAGCAAGATCTCAGAGCTGCAACCCATGTCACATGAGACAATAAGCATTTTGGAGAGTGCAGGATCCAGTGGGAACTCCACCATGAGACGTCCTGTTGAGGTCAGACCACCTGTAGGAACAGCACAGGGATCAGCAGCTGGGCAGGCCCCAGTCCCATGGGCTGACAGCTTGCCCCAGCAGCCAGTACCTGTGTTATCCAGGGCCCCCAGGATCCACAGCTGGTACATGGAGTTCAGCATGTTGTCCTCGGGGGGAGGATCCATGAAGTGGAACTGCAGCAGGTCCTGCACACCCAGGGACTTGAGCAAAAGCACTACATTGGCAAGGTTGGTGCGCTGGATCTCGGGTACTGTGGTTGTCAGCAGCTCGTTCTTGTAGGCACTCTGGGTGTAGAGCCTGGGGAACAGATCCCAAGAACATGCTCTTCACTGTCAGGCCACAGTGTTCCTTACTGACTCACCAGCCATTGCCCAACCCAGCCAGGCACGGCACGGGGCAGCAACTCTGCACTCAGCCAGGCAGGCCAGCAGGACCCCAGGGAGGAACCTCTACCCTGGCCAAAGCATGGCCTCCCCAGCACATGAGGGTGCTTGGGCTGCAGTACAGCGTACACCCCTCTCAAGCACAGTCCTTCCCTGGGCGCAGACCAGTCTCAAAGCAAAGCCTTGCAAAAGCTGCCTTTGGGTTGGCTGTTATTCTGACAGCATCAAGGGTGGAACAACCACAAGTGAGGATGGGCACGGGAAGAAACTGGAGCATATCCCTTTCTCCCTCTGCAGAGGCACTGGGTCCAAAAGAGAAGGCCTCAAGGTCTGCCTACTGCCCTCATTGCCCCAGAAGTTCAAGACAATGAACAGAACAGTGAGGAAAAAAATTACACATAACCTGATGCCAAGCTGCAGATACAACAGAAACAGGAACACCGGTGACATGCTTACCTGAAGCAGTGGCCTGGGCCTGTTCGGCCAGCTCGGCCTGCCCTCTGATTGGCATTGGCTTGACTGATGGGGTAGATCTGCAGTGCATCCATGCCTATACGGGGGTTGAAAACCTGCAGGGCACAAGAAGGAAGAGACCAAAGTAAGCAGAAGACTGGGACACTACCACAGAACTCCCTCAACCCAACCCCAGAGATCACAGACATAAACAGTACAGGAAGTCTTGGATTACCTTCAACTTGCAGTAGCCAGAGTCAATCACAAACATGATGCCATCCACTGTCAGCGAGGTCTCTGCAATGTTAGTGGCAACAATGCACTTCCTGACCCCATCCGGAGCCTGCAAGCATACTACACATCAGTCAAATCCCTGGGCAAGGGCCTCTGCACCACTGAGGGAGAGTGCAGAGCAGCAATACAGAACCCAGAAGGACAGGGGTGACTCTTGGGAAGTTGAGGGGGGCACATGCTTTCTCTTGCCCTCTACATGCAATACAAAAGGCATGTCTGCACATTTCATTCATGCTCAATAGTCTTCCCTGCACTAGTTTTCCCTGTCCCCACTCCTATCACACAGCACACAACAGCACCTTCTGGAAGATCTTGGCCTGCAAGTCTGATGGTAGCTGAGAATAGATAGGCAGTACAGCAAGAGCAGGTGCCTTTTCCAGCTCCTCAAGGTGCTCCACAATCTGCTCCGAAGTCACCTAGACACCAAGAGGGATGTAAACATCAGATTAAAACAACAAGGAGGTAGGACAGTGCCTGCCCTTCCACCTCACCTCTATGTCCTCCTGGCCAGGCATGAAGACGAGGATGTCTCCAGGAGCACCAGACAAATGGACCTGCAAGGCTTGTTTCACTGCAGCCTCCACATAATCCTCTTGTGGGGTCTGAAAGGCACAGCCCAGGTTATAGATGCCAATAATCTCACCTGCCCCGTTCTGTGTGCAAGACTGCATCATTAGCACGGCTACTCCTGTCTGTTTTCCTCAGATGTGATCGTCAGAGGGTGGTCCTCCCCCCCCCCCCCCCCGAGTACAGTACATCCTAGTCACAACCCTCTCCTGTCACAACAGAACTTCCCACTGCAACATTGACCATACCTTGCTGAAAAGAATATCAACAGGGAAAGTGCGCCCAGGAATGTGGAAAATAGGAACATTTCCAAAGAAGGAGGCAAATTTATCTGCATCCATGGTGGCTGACGTGACAACAAGCTTCAGATCCGAGCGTCGGGCCACCACCTAGGAAGCAGATGAACAATAAGGAAGGGGCATTTGTGCATGGCTGCAGGCTGCTTCCATTATTACTGAGACAACAGCACAAGATAGAGCTTCTGCTGTACTCTAGGGGCACTGGCCACAAATGCCAGGGAACACAGATGCTATATGATCTATGCATTTAAAAGATCCACAGACCTTGGTCCAGGAAGACTTAAGCCAGCAAAGGTCTCTGTACCTACAGTTTCTGACAGTTAGCCAGCAAGCCTCTGGCAGCACTTAGGCACTAGCAGAGATTTAACCCCCCAGAACCAGTGACCAGGATGTTGGAGCAGCAAGTGCAGACAGAGACGTGGCAGCTCTGCTTCCCTCTCCCAGACATAGTAGAGAAGGGCTGTCCCTGTCAATACTCCACTTTAAGATCAGCTCACGTGTCCTGTGCTGCTGTCCTCTAATCCAGGCTCACACACACCTCCCGAAGCAGGCCAAAGAGCACATCAGTATTCAGTGAGCGTTCATGTGCTTCATCCATGATGATAGCGCTGTAGTTGTCCAGGTCAGCCTCTCGCAGTGACTCACGAAGAAGGATCCCATCTGTCATGTATTTGATCACTGTGTTCTCGGATGTGCAGTCCTCAAAGCGGATGGCATAGCCCACCTGGGAGAGCAGAGATACCAGCAAGTTTTCCAACAGCCCCATGCACTCACTGTCATCAGGCTGCACCCCTGCACTCACTGCCAGACTCACCTCCTCCCCCAGACGCACTCCCATCTCTTCACTGACCCGCTTGGCAACTGACATGGCTGCCACTCTGCGGGGCTGGGTGCAGCCAATCATGCCATAATCTGTGTAGCCATCCTCATGGAGGTACTGTGTCAGCTGAGTCGTCTTCCCACTCCCCGTCTCCCCCACCACAATCACAATGCTGTTATCTCTGAAGAAAGGGAAAAAGTATTTCTTCACACACCACAAAGAAGGGCTTTTGCAGTCACAGCCCTGGCTGGCCACCCAAGCATCATCCTGCTGGGGCAGGAGGGCTGCCACCAACCACACAAAGCAATGGGCTTTGTTTCCTGAGGGTACAGCTTCCAAACGAGCCATGTATCTAGGAGAATTTCTCACTTTGGTTCCTGAGATGTAGGCCAATGCCCTGGGGATGCCTATGACCAGCTCCCTAGCAGCCATACCGGAGGATGGAGAGCAGCTCCTGCTGCACAGCAAAGATGGGCAGATATTGTCTCTGCTCCAGGATTGATTTCTTCTTGGCGAACTCACTGCTGGCTTCACTTTTTTCTTTCATATGTTCAGCAAACTTCTGCTCAGTCCTAAGGAAACACCAGAAGTCCTGAAACTGCCTCTCCACACACTTTGCTAAGCCTACAGCCCCTGTTACCGGCTGAGCAGGTGTAATTCAAAGCAAGCTCATACCTGTAATCCACTTTGCCATCTTCTGTCACCATCTCGTCCTTCTCCTCCTCTTTCTTAATCCCCATAATGTCTCCGAGTTTTGTGCCTGCCAGCTCCCAGTGCTTATGCTGAGCCTGGAAGGACAGAGAACACCATAACTTCGCCTCAGCAAGCACTGACAAATCATTCTTCTTCAATCCTACTCATAAGAAAACATATTAGCCGTACAATTCCCCAATGCTACAATGCAGAATGCACACGCCATTCCTGCATCAAGTCCCCCTCTTCCAAGTGAACCGGAGCAGAGCTTTTAGACACCGGATACAGAGACTTCAGGTACAGGATGACCAACCAACTCCAAAGAAAATGGTTCCAGCTGCTGACCCTTCCATTAAATTTAAACTTAAACATACACAAATCTGAACCAGAGATAATCTTCCTGCTCTTCGTAGGTACTCACAGGCCTCTCTCCCACCTTCCTGTTTGCTCTCGCCTCTGATATGTTTAGCTTCCAGCTCCATTGCACTCATAGTTTATGTAGCTCAAATCCAGCTCAGTTTCAATTTACAAGGAACACATCTGTGCTTTCCCCACAGCTATTACATAAGCTTTAGAGAAAATCCCTAGAAAACACCCCCAAAAAATAGTATGCTACCTTACCGCATCCTCCTCCTTACAAGTCTTTTGCTGAAACATGACAAGATATATCCTGCCACCATAATGAGTGCTGACTGTCCCTAAACTACCTTGCATTCTTCCACCTGCTCTCTTCTCCCATGATCCAAACATCCTTTGGATCAGACTCCTCTGCACAAGTGCACAGTGATTCATGTCCCAGGCAGTGCCTGAGGAAATCACATCACAGCAGCTGCTTATGAGACAATGCAATGAACTGTGCTCCCAAGATACTTCAGGTCATAAAAACATGAGCTCCTTATCATCATTACCACCAAAGCCTGTATTCTGCAAAGTCCAAACAAAGGCTGTGAGGCACTACATAACACAAGTGCAGCAGGATAGTAAGCCAAAAGGTCACAGCATACCCTCTTACGCTCCTTTTGCTCCCTGTGCTTGCGCACCAATTGGCTGCCTTTCCGGGCTATGATGGCCAAATCTGAGGTGGCATCCTTGACAGGGATGACTGGCTCTGGCTAGACGAAAGAGATATTGCTTCAGTACAGAGAGCTCACACTTGCGGGGCTCCCTGCCATCAGTGCCTTCAGCGCCTTCAGCCACAGTCTCTACCTGCTTGGTGAAGACAATCCTTCCATCTAGGAAAGGGGGCACCAGGTTGTGCACCAACAGATGCACTTTAGCAGAGTTATCCTCCTCAAAATCTTCATCCACTTCAATCCGATGAACCACACCACTGGTCAGCATACGATTTGTCTCCCAGCGCTCGTTATCCTGCAGGAGACAACATATCAGAAAATACACAGAAGCCCCACAGAAAGCCCAAGAGATCACACCAGAACATTGAGCTCAAGCCTGGGCCCCACACTGACAATAGGATGAAACTGATGGTTCCAGCATAGGGAGCCTGAAAGTACGCACTAGAGAAAAAACAATAACCGGAAGCAGCAGGGTACAGGAAACACAGACTGGCTATAAGAAGCACATGGTCAACAGGACTGTCTCCAAGGAAATGCAGGACAGACATTGTCCACAAGGCCCCTGCCATACTCAGAATATGCTGGGAAGCCTGAATATAATCCTGCTCACGTGCTGAGGGCAGCAGCCCCCAGCGTCCACTGGACCAACAGTCGACAACCCTAGTAACGTAACTAATACCCGAGAACCGCAGGAACATAGCCCTCTGCGTTCCTGCTGCCCCGGACACTGTGATCCACCGCACTCACTCTGACTGCGAATTCTGCCCCAACCAGGAGATGCAGGGCTGCGCTTTCCAGAGGAACTTAACAATAGTCTCCCTGTGAGCCCTTGTTCAGTCTCAACCAGGGCACAGACTGTCCTTCTCTGCCTGGGAGCAAGGGCTCAGCCTGCGCTTCCAGCAAGCGGATCTCTCAAGGGGCAGCAAAACCGACACGTTCAGAGCAGATGACTCCACATCTCGCCCCTACCTCATTGATCTGCCGCCGCTGTGCTGAGATGCGCTTCTGCCTCTGCTTGTGCAAGTGCTGCTCCCGCTTCTTCACGTACTCCTCAGAAGAGTAGGCCAAGGGGTTGTGAAACTCGTCGTAGCCCTCATCCATCATGTACCAGTCCCGGTCAGCTTGCTGGGAGGGGAGAGGTGC